TTTTTTACTGATAGTCAAAAATTATTTGTGTACATATTCTATTACCATTTTATTGTTAAGCATAACCTATGACTAATTTAAAATATGTACTTATAATATTATTAAAATCACTCTAAGAGCATTGTGATAGCCTCTTTTTATTTAAAAAGGAATGGATCAAATTCGATCAAACCCCTGAATATTGAAACTAAACAGAAGGAAGTAACCTGGGAAACTGGGCTGTATTATCAGAACATGGCCCCGGTTTTAGTTTTACTCTGTTTCTGTCACAAAGGATGCTCTTTTATAGGCTCGTTCATCATTGTTTATTAAAGGGGGTGTACCTTGTTCAGACTTTGCTCTAAGATTTCAGGCCAGCTCTGGTACTTCAGTCCTCAACTTCATAGTTGAAAGAGCACTGTCCCTTTTGTATACTAAGTTTGCTTTTCAGATCGGGTCTACATAAGCAAGGCAAACATAAATATAATGCCCTTAGCATTCACAGGAAACTAATGTATGAAGAGGTTGCATGGTTTGCGTAAAAAGTACGATATGGCACTATTTGTATAAAAATACAATAACGGGCCGAATAATACCCCTGAACCCTCAAATGTCCCTACCCAATCCCTGGGATGTGACTGTGCTAGTTTATACGGCAGACGTGACTTTGAAGAGGCGATTAAGGTTCAGAGCCTTGAGATGAGAAGACGGTCTTGGATAATCTGAGTGGGAATAATCTAATTATACAAATCTTCAACCAGAGGCTCATTCCTGGATATGTCCAGAGAGGTGTTTACCAGAAGCTATTTACTTTTGTTTCATTTGCTATGCAAAGATGATAATGAACTATAAATAGCATTGCAAAGAATGGTAATCTCCGAACCCTTGCTGACCGGGAAATGCTTGATGATAATTCAGAAGCAAAAACTCCATGACTCTTACTCCGATTCTGACTCCTTGTAACTCTGGAAGACAGAGCTGCCTCCTGGAGTTTCCAGGTGGTAAGTCTTTATAGAAGCAGAATGCCAATTCCCTCCCCACTGGGGAGCAACTGATGAGTTCAACTGCCGACCTGTCAGTAGTAGCTGAACAATCGACCACTCTACCACCAGCTATCCTCAGTCACGATAAAGAAGCCCACGAAAACTTAAACCACGATGCATATGCCTAACATGTATAGATCTCTTATATGAATGTGACTTCAATACTTCCAATTTCACCATTCTGCTGAGTTCAGAGCAGTTCACAAATGGGAAATGAACTCAGTCTGTGTTTCTAGCAGGCTCAGTCTGCATGTTTGGCTTGAATCTAAATAACCTTATTTTCTTAAGCAGATCAGGAAGACTCTTGACATTTTTTTTCATTGACTTTCTAAGTTCACTAAGTTCAATTTCTTCCATTAGTGAGAAAATAAGCTATTTATGAGATCAGATATGTGTCTTAGAAATAACTTGCTTATCACAGATAACAGCTTAACGTTATTACTGATTATGTGTATTTACCCTCCATCCATCTTCACCGC